AAAGAAAGAAAGAAATAAAAAGAAATACAGGGGCGGCACCTGAGGCCTAGTGAGTAGGGCACCAGCCCCATATACTGAGAGTGGCGGGTTCAAACCCGGCCTGACCAAACTGCAAACAAAAAATAGCTGGGTCTTGTGGTGGGCGCCTATAGTCCCAGCTACTTGGGAGGCTGAGGCAAGATAATCGCCTAAGCCTAAGAGCTGGAGGTTGCTGTGAGCTGTGATGCTATACCACTCTACCACGGGCTACAAGATGAAACTCTGTCCCCCCAAAATAAAGAAATACATTAGAGCAGCGGTTCTCAACCTATGGGGTCACAACCCCTCTGGGGGTTGAACTATCCTTTCACAGGGGTCACTTAAATACATCCTGCATATCAGTTATTTACATTACCATTCTTAACAGTAGCAAAATTACAGTTACGAAGTAGCAACAAAAATAGCTTTATGGTTGGGGGTCAGCATAACATGAGGAACTGTGTTAAAGGGTCGCAGCATTAGGAAGGTTGGGAACCACTGCTTTAGAGTTTGTTCTTGGTCTTGTCATAGTCTGTGGGTTTGGAAAAATATATAATGGTATGTATCCACTGTTACAGTATACAGAGTAATTTCACTACCCTAAAAATCTATTCTGCTCCACCTGTTTCTCTCTCCCTCCCACATAAGTACCAGCAAGCACTTACCTCCAAACCATCTCAATCATTCTGCCTTTTCTAGGATGTCTTGTAATTGGAATCATTGAGTACGTAACCTTTTCCAGATTGGCCTTTTTACTTAGTAATGTGCACGTAAGTTTCTTCCATGTCTTTTTATGGCTTGACTCAATAGCTTATTTACTTTTAGCACTAAATAATTATCATTGTCTGAATGCACCACAGTTTATCCATTCATCTACTGAAGGACATTCTTTTTTTGAGACAGAGTCACAGCTCACAGCAACTTCATCTCTTGGGCTTAAGCGATTCTCTTGCCTCACTCAGCCTTCCAAGCTGGGACTACAGGCACCTGCCACAATGCCCAGTTATATATATATATTTTTCTTACTGTTGGGGATTCATTGAGGGTACAAGAAACCAGGTTACACTGATTCCATTTGTTAGGTAAAGTCCCTGTTATAATTACGTCTTGCCCCCAAAAGGAGTGTCACACACCAAGACCCCTACCCCCTCCCTCCTTCCCTCTTTCCACTTTTCCTTTCTCCCACCCCGCTCCCTCCTCTGTCTTTCTGCTCTCCCCTTCCCCCACCATGTACTAGGTCATTAATTGTCCTCCATAAAAATATGGAACGCTTCATGAATTTGCGTATCATCCTTGTGCAGGGGCCATACTAATCTTTGTGTTGTTCCAGTTTTTAGTATATGTGCTGCTGAAGCGAGCACCCGGCTATTTTTTTTGTTGTGGTTGTCGTTGTTTAGCAGGCCCTGGCAGGTTCAAACCTACCAGCCCCAGTGTATGTGGCTGGCGCCCTAACCATTGAGGTACGGGCACCAGGCCACCTGCAGGACATTTTGGATGCTTCCAAGCTTTGGCAGTTATGAGTAAAGGTACTATAAACATCCACATGGACATAAGATTTTTTTGTGGACATAAGTTTTCGGCTTGGGTAAACACACCAAAGAATGTGATTGCTGAATCATAAGGTAACTTTAAAACTGCCTTCCGAAGTGGCTGTATCATTTTGCATTCCTGCTAGCAATGAGTAAGAGTCCCTGTTGCTACACGTCATTACCAGCGTTTCCTGCTGTCAGTGTTCTGGGTTTTGACCATTCTATTGGGTGTGTAACGGTTCTTACTCTTTTTAAGTTGGTTTTTGTTTATTCTTGTTCATTCAGAGTATCACTCTGTTGCCCTAGGCTAGAATGTCCCGCAGCAACCTCAGCCTCCTGAGTTCAAGCAATCCTGCCTCACCCTCCCAAGTAGCTGGACTACAGCTAATTTTCTGGGGGGTTTTTTGTTTGTTTGTTTGTTTGTTTTTAGTAGAGACTGGGCCTGGCTCTTGCTCAGGCTGGCCCCTGAATTCCTGAGCCCAAGGGTTTCTCCTGCCTCGGCCTCCCAGAGTGCTGGAATTATAAATGTGATTTCCTGTTTTCAATTTATTGGTTTCTGCTCTCATTTTTATTTCTTTCCTACTGCTTACTTTAGATTTAATTTCGTTTTTTACCCCTAGTTTCCTAAAGTGGAAGCATAGATGAGTTTTAGATGTTTTTTTCCGAATACCTTTATATGTTTTCAGTGCTATAACTCTCCCTCTAAGCACTGCTTTCACTGCATTCCGCATATTTTAGTGTGATCTCTATTCTTTCAAACTTGCTAAAGTGTGGGGCGGCGCCTGTGGCTCAAAGGAGTAAGGCACTGGCCCCATATGCCAGAGGTGGCGGAATCTAAGCCCAGCCCTCGCCAAAAACTGCAAAAAAAAAAAA